GAAAAAGCATTCCAGGTTAAGTAAGATTTCTAAAAAAAAAAAAATTAGCAGGAGGCAATGGCAATTTTCAAGCCCTGGGGTTGCCATATGTGCCAAGCACAATCCTGACAGCTCTGCTCTTTGTGCCTGTAAGTTCTGCTGTGATCCTTGGTCTTGCAAGGAAGGGATTTCCAGTTAACCACACTGTGCAGCTAGATCACTGTCACTGTCCTCCCATCAGTTTGCTCAAATGGGCCCGGTTAAGTCTCCATTTTTTTGAGACGTTTTGTTACTGTGTTTGGCATATTGAGTACGTCACAGGTAGCTTGCCAGGCTTTGCCGTGCGGGCGAGATACTCTCAGTAGCTTGCCGGGCTCTCCAAGAGGGGCGGAGGAATCAAACCTGACACCGCTGGGCTGGCTGCGCGCAAGGCAAACGCCCTACCACTGTGCTATCGCTCCAGATCCATATAGCTAGATGTACGTATAAAACAACTAAACAGTGAGCCCTACTAAGTACAAGTACAAGCACCACAACTAGAATATGACTAAAGAGACTGAGTGTGTAATAAAGCACTACAACTTGATGTGCAAGCCAATGCAAACACTAAACCATGGGTACAACCCCCAGTCACCACACCACCAACTGGGGGGGGGGGGGGAGAAGGGGAGAGAGAATATAACCACATGAAATATTCCAAGTAGATAAATAGTAGCAATAAAATGTTTTCCTTTCCAGACCGGAGCCTTGTGGAAAGCAGGTTTGAGCCGTGCTCGGGGGAGCGGCGGGGACCTCATGGGAAGGGGGGCTTTGTGGGCCGTCCCCCACGCCCCACCGAGGTCGCCAGCTGCCCCCCACGAGTGGCTCTCCGGCACGGCCACGGCCCCGGAGGCACAAGGACTTAGCACAGAGAACCAGCCGCTTGGAGCAGAAAAGCAAATGGACTTGTGTTGATCCGCGCCACCAAGCCTGCCCGGAGGGGGAAGGGCGTTGACCGGCCCGCCCGCTCCTCTCTGGAAAGAAAGATGGCGGCCGCACGGGAGCCTTGTGGAAAGCAGGTTTGAGCCGTGCTCGGGGGAGCGGCGGGGACCTCATGGGAAGGGGGGCTTTGTGGGCCGTCCCCCACGCCCCACCGAGGTCGCCAGCTGCCCCCCACGAGCGGCTCTCCGGCACGGCCACGACTCCAGGGCACAGAAACCAATCTCTTAAGTAGCTAACTTTTAATAGAAATTCTTCCAGGGTCAATAAGTAAAATAGCAGAAATTCAAAACCGCGCGGCCGCTATCAGGGCCTCGCGACATCATTTTATTCTTAAACCAAGTTGTAGAAAGCAAATCATTTCACAACGCTGTTTCAGCATGTCTGATTGGGGGGGGGGGGTCGTAAACTCTAAACAGTAATTGTGCATCTTCTATCGAAATAATCTATCTAGTCAAAGTAGATAGAGTATTAACTAGAACTCATCTGCCTCACAAGAATTCGGAGGGGTGGGAGGTGGGGGTCTATTGGGGTTCGGGGTTAAAAATGAGTATTGGTAAAGGGAAATGTGTTCGGTATCTACATGACTGAGACCTAAACCCGAAAGCTCTGTAACTTTTCCCACAGTGATTCAATAAATAAATTATAAAAAAAAAAAAAAAAAAAGTTTTACTTTCCATAAATACAGACACCATTCGATTATTCTTTTCTTAGTAGTCACAAAATGGCATAGTAAAAGCATTTTACTAAGATCTCCACATCAGTAGAAAACAGCGAAATTTCTGCTCTGCCCTCCACATACATACTCTTACGTGGATTTGTCTATAATAGCAAACCTTATTTCCACTACCTCTCAGATAGTCAAACCTATTTCCTTTCCATCAAATCAACCTTTAATGATTTTCAACTCCTATTTTTTTATCAATTACTCTTTGTCAACACAGAACTCAGTAGTCAAGTCCATTTTTTCATTCAAGGAATCCCAGATGACGATCAGCTCTAACTTCCTTTAAGAACTCAGACTTGAGATACAGCCCAAGAGAAGGACCACATGGAGGGTGGGAACCACAGATCCCGGAGGAAAAAAAAAAAAACAGGTTCCAAAAAGAGCCGAGATCACCGGGAAGTCCCAGATGGGGTAGGTACCGCATCCCGCCTCCCCCAGATGGAACCCCAGTGACCAGAAGCCTCTACAAGCACAGCTCGAGTATGCGGGAACTGGGACTTTTTCTCAAATCTGCCGGGACTACAGCTCCCAGGAAACCTCTGATTCCGGAAGTCACGCCCACAGACCGCCTCCCAGCGCCATCTTTACAACATACAGCCCAAGAGGACCACATGGAGGGCGGGAACCACAGATCCCGGAGAAAAAAAAAAAAAACAGGTTCCAAAAAGAGCCAAGATCACCGGGAAGTCCCAGATGGGGTAGGTACTGCATCCCGCCTCCCCCAGATGGAACCCCGGTGACCAGAAGCCTCTACAAGCACAGCTCGAGTATGCGGGAACTAGGACTTTTTCTCAAAACAAGCGGCCGCGCGACATCTCTCTATATACAAAGTTATCAATGGGAAGTAAACCACCCAACCTTTCTCCCTGAAAATCAGAGTTAAGTTTGGAGCACGGCCACAGCCCCAGAAACACAAGGACTTAATGCAGAACCCAGCAGCTTGGAGTAGAAAAGTGAACGGACTATGCGTTAATCCAGGCCATCATGTCTGCCCGGAGGGGAAAGGGTGTTGCCCCATTCGCCCCTCTTCTCTGGAAAGAAGGATAATGGCCACATGGGAGCCTTGTGGACAGCAGGTATGAGCCGGGGGTGTGGGGGCGACTAAAACCTCATGGGAAGGGGAGCGTTCTGGTCCGTCCTTCACGCCCTACAGAGGTCACCAGTTGCCCCCCGCGAGCGGCTCTCCAGCACGGCCACAGCCCCAGAAGCATAAGGACTTAATGCAGAACCCAACAGCTTGGAGCAGAAAAGTGAACAGACTATGCGTTAATCCAGGCCATCATGTCTGCCGGAGGGGAAAAGGTGTTGCCCCATTCGCCCTCTCTTCTCTGGAAAGAAGGATGGCAGCCGCATGGGAGCCTTGTGGACAGCAGGTATGAGCCGGGGGTGTGGGGGCGACTAAAACCTCATGGGAAGGAGGGCGTTCCGGTCCGTCCTTCATGCCCTACCGAGGCCACCAGTTGCCCCCCACGAGCAGCTCTCCAACACGGCCACAGCCCCAGAAGCACAAGGACTTAATGCAGAACCCAGCAGCTTGGAGCAGAAAAGTGAACGGACTATGCGTTAATCCAGGCCATCAAGTCTGCCGGAGGGGAAAAGGTGTTGCCCCATTCGCCCTCTCTTCTCTGGAAAGAAGGATGGCGGCCGCATGGGAGCCTTGTGGACAGCAGGTATGAGCCGGGGGAGTGGGGGCGACTAAAACCTCATGGGAAGGGGGGCGTTCCGGTCCGTCCTTCACACCCTACCGAGGTCACCAGTTGCCCCCCGCGAGCGGCTCTCCAGCACGGCCACAGCCCCAGAAGCACAAGGACTTAATGCAGAACCCGGCAGCTTGGAGCAGAAAAGTGGACGGACTATGCGTTAATCCAGGCCATCATGTCTGCCTGGAGGGGAAAGGGTGTTGCCCCATTCGCCCTCTCTTCTCTGGAAAGAAGGATAATGGCCACATGGGAGCCTTGTGGACAGCAAGTATGAGCCAGGGGTGTGGGGGCGACTAAAACCTCATGGGAAGGGGGGCGTTTCGGTCCGCCCTTCACGCCCTACCGAGGCCACCAGTTGCCCCCACGAGCGGCTCTCCAGCACGGCCACGACTCCAGAACACAGAAACCAATTTCTTAACTATCTGACTTTCAGTAGAAATACTTCCAGGGTCAATAGGTAAAATAACAGAAATCCAAAACCAACATTTAATTCTTGAACCCAGCTGTAGAAAGCAAATCACTTCACAATACTTTTTCAGCATGTCTGATTTGGGGGGGTAAACTCTAAATAATAGTGGTAAATCTTTTATTGAAACAGTGAATCTAATCAAAGCAGATAGAGTGTTAACTAGAATTCATCTGCCTCACAGGGACTGGGAGGGGTGGGGGGTGGGGTTTTATTGGGGTTCTTCATGGTAAAAAATAAGTATTGGTAAAGGGAAATGTGTTTGATATTTGCATGACTGAGACCTAAACCTGAAAGCTTTGTAACCTTTCCCACAGTGATTCAATAAATAAATTTTAAAAAAAATAAAAGAATAAAAAAATAAAAAAAAATTTAAAAAAAAAGAACTCAGACTTGACCCACTAGCCCTGTTTTACCACTTCATGACTAAATCTCCAAGGATATGCAAACCAAGCAGATAAAACTCATGGAAACACCAGTCCCCTCAGATAAAAAAAAATTCTAGGGTGCCCTCAGATTAGCAGGCTTGAGTACCCTTCTGCTGAAGCCCCACCCACAGCACCCACACCCCACTACTGCAGCCACATCAGAGACTCAATTCGACTCCACACTCTCTACAGATACCAAACTCTGAGTAATTTCAGGTACCTTGGTGCCCAGGCTGATAGCTCTGATGTATTCTCGAAGTCAGGGTGGGCAGCCTCCCGACATCCCTTGTATTTTTCCACAAGTCCTAGCAGTTACATCCACCTCCCATATTGCCACTATGTCAATGGTCCAGACCACAGATCCTGATTACCTCTGGCCACCTAATTCCTCAGTATTAAAATTCTAGAAGGAGCACACCAAATCAGATGGGAAAGATAGAAGCCAACGAAACTCAACAAAATCTAACACAGAAGGCTCAACTAGAGCAGGAGTGATAGCACAGCAGATAGTGTTTCACCCCCAGCAGCTCATATGTTCCCACAAGTACCTCCATGAGTAATTCCTGAGTGGAGTCCGAATTAACCCCTGAGCATCACTGGGTATGACCAAGAAATGAGGGGCGGAGGGGGGTTAAGAAGATGACTCAACTATTCTTAGAAAAGGACATTAACTCTGATGAAACACAAAAATTTTCACATAAAAATGTATTTTTTATACTTACTGATTTCAATATTGGAGCTTCATTATCTAGTCAATTTCAACTCAACTGTATCACCTGCTGTGATTTTCATCTACATTAAAATAATTAAAAAAAAAACTCAGACTTAAAACTACTACCCAACTGTACATTGTTCATGTACATTTATGAGATTCCTAAATATAAACACTCTAAAAAACCTTTTTCTTATATATTCTTAAAACGCTAAATATAACACCTATTTGTCAACATATGCTTGATGATTGGTATAAATTAAGCACATAAAAATGTCATATACAAGTCTACGTCCACTCAGCCTAATAAATCCTTGACCATTCCAGTTGTACATATGACATTCACTGTTTGTAGGCTGAATGCATGAAGGATTAAATATATAAGTGAAAGGCAAACAAAAAGTAAAAAGTAAGTTACAGATGGATGTGAATGATCAACTTTAAACTATGTATGTTAAATTCATTTATAAAAAAAAAACACGTAAATCAGATTTATGCTGCAATTCAAATCAAACTGTTCATGTATAGAATTTTGGTCCAGGAGACAGGAAAGAACGCTTTATTAATTGACAGAATTAAAATAAAAAGTAAATAAAAAACCTTGGATAGTTTGTGTAACTCCCAGACAGCAACAATTAAAAAAAAAAAACCCACGCACTTCCTACTACATACTATTGTTTCTGGAAAGGAAACTTGGACAAATTTTTTATCCATCTCCCATCTCTACATTTCACTTTCTCATATTACAATGGGGTTCTCATACTCATGAGGGGTGGGGGAGACTAACTCACAAGCATCCTCCCAGAGAATCCTTCTCTGAGCACTAAAGTAATTCTGACTGCCTATGCTTAGGTAATAATCAATCACTGTTGCAAAAGGGACAAGAAGTCCTCGATTTAAAAGCTATAAAGACAAACTGGTAGTCAATCTCATAACAGGAGAGGGATAGTTTCCAAATGAAGAGATTCTGAATTGACCAAAACTTACTCTCTTGTCATCTACCAGCCACACCCTCCAACAACCCAATTTTAATTAGTAAATAGTAGTAATTTGTCAATTACATTTTTGCTTTATTATATTTGAAGTTTTCGTTTATAGTATTACTGTTCTAGTAGTTTTGGTCAAATCCTTGGCAGTCTGTTTTGTTTTTAGATCAGACCCAGCAGTGCCCAGAACTTACTCCTGGCTCTGCACTCAGGAATCACTCCTAGTAGGGCCCAGAGGACCACGTGGAATACTTGACATTGAAGTGGGTTGGCCATGTGCAAGGAAAGCACCGTACCCTTACCTGCTATATATGATCACTTCAGCTCCTCAAATACAAATTCTTAACATTTACTTTTTTTCAAAGAACATTTGTGAATGTCATGGAGGAAATCAAATAATTGTTATGTAGGAAGAAGATACCTGAGTAAATGAAGTAAATGACCTCAATTGCTTTATTGTTCTCCACTTATTATGGATGTCAGATTTTACTTGTAATAAAACAAACACCTCTGAAAAACGGTTTTGAAAGAAAGTCATCTGATAGTTAAGTTCAAAGAACCACTGTAATTATCTAAGTAGTAATACATGATAGTGTTTACTTTCTTTCCTTTAAAAACTTTTTTGTTACCAGGGGCTACAGAAGGGGGAATGACTAAATGTAGTTTTTATTTGCTGTTTGTTTTGTGATAAAGGCTGAGCTCTACAACTGAGCCAGAACCCTGGCTCTCAGCTATTTTAACAACCATACACAGTCTTACTCCTAATATAGAATTATACTTACAAGTATGTTAACATGTTCAGCAAGGAAAATTATATGATACCATGGTATTCCAGGACCTATAAAACAGCAAGACACACTTGAATTTCAAGAGTAGGGGGGGAAAATGTACTTTCTACAAGGATGCAGCTAGTTGTACCATGGATTATAGTATTTTTTTTTTGTTCACACCAAAATATTGATTGCCTCCAGAAAACCAGTTAGAATTCTAATTGTTTCTCAATCCCCTTTCTTAACTCACTGTATATGCCATTACGACATGACCAATTTTTCTTTAACTGCATTTGTTTTACTTAATAGAACAAGATCTTTAGTTTCGAAACATCATCCCAGAGATTTATCCTCATCAATCATTACCCAAAGTTCTTAATGCTGTCCTTAAATTTAGGAGACTACAGTCCAAGTCATCTTAGATTGCTAATTTAAACTATGGAAAACAAAAACATCATTTTTTGCTTAGACTGAAATGAAAATCCATGTGTATTTTATGCATGTGTGCCATATATATGACATATTATAAAGTCTGGGCTGGAGCGATAGCACAACAGTAGGGCCTTGTGCACAGCCAGCCCAGCTGAGCCTGGTTTGATTCCTTCTCTCTTCTCGGAGAACCCGGCAAGCTACCGAGAATATCTTGCCCACACGGCAAAGCCTGTCAAGCTACCCGTGCCGAATTCAATATGCCAAACACAGTAACAAGAAGTCTCAAAATGGAGCCATTACTGGGCTCACTCAAGCAAATCGATGAACAACGGGAGAATAGTGTTTGTTTTTTGATAATAAAGTCTAACTTATGACATGCATTTTCATATTAAAAAATGTTAATTATAACAGTATATACTACTGTATACAATATTTACCATCTCTGTCTTCAAGGAACGAAAGTCATACAATCTACTGCTTCGGCAATCAGGAGCAGTGATCAAAAGAAGAAATACCTGGAAATGAAGACCAAGATTTTGAAACTCTGCAAAACACTGTTAGTAAAAACTTTGAATATGAAGTATTACTTAAGCATATTCAATTTGCGTGTACAAATTTAGCAGGGAAAAAAACCTGCACTGATACCTAGTGATGTCACATTCACCAAAATTAGAAACTTAGCAGGAAGCCTAAGCTCCATCTAGTATCTTAGAGAAAATGAGATGTGCCCAGCTTCATGAACCTAAAACTAGGGAATAAGACTCTGATTTCAACCCGGATACATTGCCACCACCAAGCTACCTCTTAACACTCAGACTAAGATTTCCTGCAAATTGCATCATGTGTCAATTCCCATACAAGAACTGAAACAGATATCAGATAAAAACATATTTTGAATTAGGACTTTTCTTCATTTACAAAGCTTTTCAAAAGCCTGCTAGTTTCCTATCAGAAACTAGACAAGATTACGATTCACTTGGGGGTGAAAAAGTACATTGCAAAGCCTCAGTGATAGCATACTTCACAGGAGGCCTTAGGTTACATCCCTGCATGGAATACTAAGCTTTAAGTGGTCTAAAATGTACAAAGCTCCAATATGAACAATTACAAAAAGTAAAAGTATATTTTCAAGCGAAACCGGAGTTTTATTCTAAAACGTTATCTCCTCTGGGATATTTTAAGATCTAGAATTTCGGAGCAATCACTGTACACTTAATAACATGATAGGACTTCATATACGATGAAAAACTCAAGCATTTTTAAAGTTCATTCGCTATCAAAGCACACAGCATTCACTGTGGCATATGTCCTTTAATTCACAAAAAAACATCCGAACTGGGACTTAAGGTAGTATCACCACAATAAGGGGAAAAAAATCTTAAAGGGACGCCGATTTTTCTTAGGTCCAATAAGCGCTACCCCACTTGTTCGACTAAGAAACACGGCTAACCCCCTGGGCTCGATCCCCAGCGTTCCAAGCTCCACAAGGGGTGCACTCTGAGCACAGAACCAGGAGTAAACCTCTGAACACCGCTGGGTGTGGGCTAAAAAAAAAAAAGGGACAAACAATTAAACAGCAATTACCTGCTTTCTAGACCTGGGGCTCATTTTATTTCTAAGAACATGAATTTAAATATAATAATTATTTGCCACGCTTACCATCCAAGAAGTAAACGCAAACACCCTGAAAAGATTCACAGGACTCAGAGCTCTAGGACTTCAGAGGAAAGAGCCTCACTCAAAAGACAAAAAGAATAGTTGATCTACAGCTACCCTCTGAAGAACGCCGGGTTCCACAGAAGCAATCTCACCAATTTTTTTGGACTCCACTTGAGGACATCCCCTTTGAGAGCACGTTCCAACCATCCCCCACGCCCCGTCGTCTTGCGCTTCCAGAACACCCCAACAACCTCCATCACACGAGGCCTGGCAGAGCCGCGGGCGCGGATGCAACCCGACCCCGCGGTCCACTTGGGTGCCTCCGCGTTCCATCAACTTGAACCACCTTCCGTGCGAAGTTGGACACTCTTCCAAGTTCAACAACGCCCTTGCCCGGGGTTTCGGGGTTTTCTTGGGGAGTTCCGAGAGCCAAACACAAGACAAGGCAACTTGGTTCACCCGAACCTCCCAAAACCTCACGAACGGCTCAAGTCCCCCCCACTCCCCCAAGTCCGACTTGACAGGAACCCCGAGCCCGCCCGCCCTAATGCTCAAGCCACCGAAGGTTCCACGCATGGGTCTGCTCCAGAATTCTGGGCAGCGCCTCAAAGACTGCACGGCCACCTTGGGAGAGGCGCCTACTTGACAATGCGACCAAAGCTGGCGTGATCACAACGGCTCCTGGAACTGAGGAAAGCCAGTGACAAAGGGCTCCGTGGGCCAGTGGGTGTGGGTGGGGTCTGGGGGGAAGAGGGGGCACTGCGCCTTTGGCCAACGCTGGGGCTGGGCGAGCGCTCCTGAGGGCTGAGCCTTCTCGGCGAGGCAAGACCTCCGAGGACCACGGTCGGCGCCCACAATGGGGACGCCGTCGAGTCACGGGTGACCGCGGGCCTGGCGAACCTACAAGCTCGAGGGGTGTCCCGCTGAGGGGAAGCGGGGGGTGGGCGGCCGGGAGTCTCCAGCAGCCCGGGAACGCGCCGAGTGGGTGCTTCGAGCGCCGCGCGCGCCCCGCTCCGTCCCAAGCGCCGCGCCCGATCCGCCCCTTCCTCCGGACTCGGCTGCCCCTCGGGCGCGCGGAAGCACACCTCGCCGCACGCCCGTGTCGGCGCCCGGGCTGCGCGCGTGGAAAGTCGGGGACGCTCGCACGCGAAACGAGCCCAAGCTCAGCGCCCGAAGGGGTCAACTCTAGCAATCAGCAGGAGCGCCCGGGCCCCAGAGCCGGTTTCTCTGGAGAAGAAACTTTGCGGCAAGTTAGGCGGAAGCGCTGAATGGCCGGGACTATTTAACAGGCGCCTCCAACTAAGCAAGAGGCGGACCCCGGAGCCGGCTCTGGGGACTCAACCCCGACCCCCCGCCGCCCGAAAAATTCGCCCTTTGCCCCCCCTGGTTGACATTTCATCAGTCCCGGCATCCTAACCAGTCTGGGCGGCCCCCGCTCACAGGGAATACCTGCCATGGTCCCCAAAGCTTGCGAGTCCCTGATGGCGGCCATTACACTTCCATCCGGGTATTGCCGAAAAGCCGATTGCAGCGCTGTCGCGGCGGCGGAAGGATCCGCGCTGCACCTGAGACAAGCGGAAGCGGACGGCGGCCGGCAAGATCCGTCCCTCCGCCTGCGAGACTAGGCCACGGTACTAGGCTTCCCGCTAACCCTCCAATTCCCCGCGTCTCCCCCCACCCCCGCCAGCCCCCGCTGCTCGCCACCACTGTGACCCTGACCCACCCTTGGCTCACCAGTTGCTGCAGAGGGCCTACTGCCTAGGGCAAGACAGAGAACAGTCCACCCTGTTCTTCAGAGTAGACACCAGAGGCAGGAACTGTGCTCTTGGCAAGCCCTCTGACTGGGAATGGACTCAACCCTGAGATTTTAACCATTTCCGGCTCTGCAAATGGCGTCTCTCCATCCCCCCACCCCACCCCTTGCATTTGACACGCGGGATTCAGCAGCTGTAGCAACCCACCTCGGTTAAGAAAGCCGCCCCAGTCCGTCTTGGAAGACATCCCGAGCCCAAACACGTCACCCGTTAAATAACTCAACAGAAAAGAGGTTCCAGGAAAAGAGAAGGCTCAATCCCACCCAACGAATTCTGCCCCATGGCACAGCTTTTGTTCCGCTCCATAATGGTAGCGGGTTTTCCCCCCTCCTCAAACCTTGATGCGGCTCCTCTTCTCTCCTCCAGCGCGCTCCTGAAATCCCCTTGTCTGGGCAGGTCCCACTTTTTATATGAACTATCTTCCTTTCAAAAAAAAAAAAACAAGGACAAAGTGGCAACTGTGTATCCAAAAAAAAAAAGGGCCGCCAGTGCTGCGGAAGAACACGCCAAGGAGCACTGGAGCTAATCCGCCATCAAGTTGTGCTCGTTTGTTTAAAATGTGTTTATAATAAAAATCACTATACATTTAAGATACGTTTCTCATTTAGCATGTGTTTGAAAATGCTGCTCTTGCATGGCACGCTAGATTTTCTACCATTTTTAAATAAGCAAACTTTTTTAGGACGCTTTCTTAAAGGGTGACAACTATCTTGTCCGACACGACTTCTGGAAAAGCCAAAGGAAGGGAGTTTGCTGTTTACTAGTTAGGTATTTTAAACTCAAAGCTTGACAGACTAAGCAATGTTTTACTCATACTTGCTAGACTGAAAAGAATAATGAACTGTATGCATAGTACAAACCATTAAAGTGCTGATGGTAGTGACAGTAAAAGTTTTATCTTGATTACATTTTTTATGTCTTTTAACTTGTAATTCAAATACACTTTGGATATGTATATTTTTAAATATATAATTCATGTAATTCAAGTACATCAAAAAGATGACTTCAAAATTGGAAATTTCTCCCTAAAAATTCAAGTGGGAGCGATAGCACAGCGGTAGGGCGTTTGCCTTGCACACAGCCAACATGGCCGACCCAAGTTCGGTTCCTCGGCCCCTCTCAGAGAACCCGGCAAGCTACCAAGAGTATCTCGCCTGCACGGCAGAGCCTGGAAAGCTACCCGTGATGTATTCCATATGCCAAACACAGTAACAAGAAGTCTCATGATGGAGTCGTTACTGGGCCCACTCGAGCAAATCGATGAACAATGGGAGGACCGTGACCGTCTAAAGATTCGCACATCCCAATCATGGGATTAGCTACTACCTAAAGTAATTTTTTTTGTGTTAAGATTTTTTAAAGTAAATACAATTTTGTGAGACACTAAAGAACATAGCAAAAGTCAGTTTTATGATTTATTACTCTAAGATTTTCAAGTTACATTTTCCTGCAAATCTCTATTAATTCTGCTTTTGAAATTTTTTCAATTTAAAATTGACTTTGCTATGCAGGATGTGGCTTCTCAGCCCCAGAAATATCATGAATACAGTTATTAGTTGCTCAAAGACCAAACAAAAACAACAACAATAGAATCAAATCCATATTGTTTTCCTCTTTTAAATTAGTGTATGTCTGTCTTACTACTGCCTCAAAGGTCTTGAAATTGTGCTAATCTTGACAATGTTTTCTTATGTTGTTTGTAGAGGAAGTAAGAGTTTGGTGGAGAAAGAGGCACTCTTGTCTAACCTAGATTAAAATGCCTGATGGAGTGAATGAACAAGAATCAAACATTTCACTTTGTTTTGTATGCCTTGATCCTGATAACACTCGGAATGTCAAAGTGGTGAGGTAACCAGGAAAGGTAACTCTACATTTACAACATGAAACAGCTTGGAAAAGTCATACTTATTCAAAAGGAAATAATTTCATAGGAGTCAGAGAGATAGTACAACAGGCAGGGTATTTGCCTTCCATGGAGCTAACCTGGGTTCAGTCCCCAGATCCACATATGGTTCCTTGAGCTCTGCAAGGAGTAATCCTTGAGCTCAGAACACCACCCGTGGTTGCCCAAAAACCAAAACGAAAAGATTGTCATTTCCTTGTGGGTGAGAGGGAAATGGGGACATTGGTGGAGGGAAGGTTACACTAGTGGTGGGATTGGTGTTGGAACATTATATGCCTGAAACAACTGTATTTGAACAACTTTGTAAATTGGTGTTTTAATAAAATTTTTAAAAAAGGAAATAATTTGCAGAGTATAAAAATGTTATTTTAAAACTATCAAAATATATGGAAAGTGTGCTAATTAAAACACATACATCAGCCTCTAAATATATTCCAGAGGCTGAAAGCAGATACAAACATATAAGTGAATATAAAGGTACACATGAAACAGCGAGGATTGATTAGAGATTAGATTCAGAATGTCTGAGCAGATGGGAGGAAGGGAAGGTGCTATCACAATACAAAGAGTAGCTCACAGTTCAATAAATGTTTCCAAATGCCTAGTAAGTTTCAGGGGCTCCAAAGATCTGTTTTTGTCCTCAGAACATTGACACAATGTCAGAGTTGCACAGAGGAACCAAAATAAGTCATTTCCAAGTGCCTAGTAAGTTTCAGAGGCTCCAAACATCTGTTCATGTCCTCAGAACATTAATTGACACAATGTCAATGATACCTAGGAACCAGACAGTTCATTTTCAAAAGCCTCGTAAGTTTCAGGGGGCCCAGATTTGTTCTTGTTCTCAAAACATTGAAACAAAGTCTATGATGTTTAGAGGAACCAACCAGACTGCTCAGCTTGCACAGCTAAGTCATGGTTTTGTATTGTCCTTATGTCTCCCTCTTTTAGTCAAAATTATCCTGATTTGAATGATAATTGCATGGTCATTTTAGTGTAAAGGAAATTTGCTTAAAATCTAGTCAGTTACATAGAAAGATTGCATTCATCTGGGGAATATAAAGTAACAAAATAGGAGACTAACACCCAAGAATGCTGGGGGAAAAGGCAGCTCAGCTAGAGAAGGGAGCACCAAATAGAGGGTGTTGGGAGGATCCTCCCAGGATGGGAGATGCATGCCGAAAGTAGACTACAGACGAACATGATTGCCCCTCAGTGCAAACCACAGCATCCAAAAGGAGAGAGAGAACAAAGGGGAATGCCCTGCCACAGAGGCGGGGTGGGATGGGGGGGTTGGGAGGGTAGGAGGGATACTGGGATCATTGGTGGTGGAGAATGGGCACTGGTGGAGGGATGGGTACTCGATCATTGTATAACTGAAACCCAAGCACAAAAATTTGTAAGTCTATAACTGTAACTCATGGTGTTTCACTAATAAAAATTAAAAAAGAAAAAAAACACATTAAGTGCATAGCTTAGAAATGTTTGATCTGTTTTCCTCTAACTCAGAAATAAAACAAACATGTCAGTAGAAAGAAGGGGAAGTGTGATACCTGGGCTCTCAGTTCTTAATTTTTTAATTCTTTTCTTTTTTTACCCAGACTTTGCTGGGCAAGTTGGGGCAAACTCAGTAATGTTCTGGGACTATTCCTGGTTCGATGTTCAGGGGTCTCTGCCAGTGGTTCTTGTACTGGAATCGCCTCATGCAAGATAAACGTCTTAACCCTTGGTACTGTCTCTTAGTTCACAAATCTAGGGACGAACACTAATAGACACACACAACAGATATAATTACATATATTCCTAATATATTCCAAAACAGGAGCACACCCCGAAGGATATGCTAACAGAAAGAAATATACAAACCAAAACTCTACGATCTGAAAAAAAATTATTAGAAATGACATATAAAGAATTTGAATAAGACACATATGCCTAAAGGATAAATGGAAGATAATATATAAAACTATATTAAAGTAAGTGAAGATTTACATCGACACAGGCATAAAGAAAGTAGGGGGCTGGAGTGATAGTACAGCAGGGATGGTGTTTGCCTTGCACGCAGCCAATCTGGATTTGATCCCATATCCCATATGTTCCCCGGAGCAATGCCAGGAGTAATTCCTGAGTGCAGAGCCAGAAGGAACCCCTGAGCATGGGCCGGGTGTGACCCAAAAAGCCAAAAAAAAAAAAAAATTAGGTGTTGGTTAGTTTTTTGGGTTTTATTTTTTCAGCCAACTCACACTTCCCCCCTCCCACCACTCACCCCCACCCTTCCCACCTCCACCCCAAATTGCTGAAATATCCTCAAGAGAAGACTGGCAAAGTACGGGCAGGAACCTGGAAATTTGTACACACTTGAGCCATATCCCTTGCCCCAGAAGCAGATTTTATCAGGGAGGAAAATATTTTATCAGAAAGAAGCATCTATTCAATTAAACATCTTAAATATTTCACTAGCCATGACTGAGTCATACGCTCTCCCCGAAAACAAAGGAAATGGTAGAGGAAAACAGTATTGTTGTGATCAACTCAAATCAATCATGATTTATATGCTGGACTAGAAAATTATCACCTAAGAAAAATGGTAAATAATAAAGTTGAATAACTTTTGGTTGGTTATTAAAGATACTTAGCATCTGCAATAATAAAGAAAACCAGGGGGCTGGAGAGAGAGAGTACAGCAGCTAAGGAGCATGCCTTGCACTCACCTGACCCAGGTCCATTCCCAGGCTTCCCATTTAGTGCCCCAAGCTTTACCAGGAGTAACAGAGGCAGCAGAAACCCCTGAGTATCACCGGATATGACCCAAAGACA